CATCCTTCTTCATCTTCCCTTCTTTCTCATCCTCCCCTTCTTCCTCCTCCTTCTTCTCCACATCCCTCTTCTTCTTCTTCTCTTTCACATCTTTTTCTTCCTCCTCCAAATCTCTTCCTTCTTCTCTTTCTCATCCTTCTTCTTCCTCCTCCTCCTCCCCTTTCTCATCATTCTTGTTCTACTTCCTTCTCTTCCTTCGTCTTCTTCGTCCACCTCCTTCTCCTCCTTCTTCTTCCTCATTTTTCTTCGTCTTCTTCGTCCACCTTCTTCTTCTTCTTCTTCTTCTTCTTCTTCTTCTTCTTCTCGGTGGAATTAGCCATTTTGAAGTAAAAGTGAGATTTGAACATAAGTTGACAAAAATGAAGTCAACTGTTTTGAGATTTAGCCGAAACTAGAAACTGAGAGATTGAAATGATAATTATTAAAGAAAATAGAATTATCTTAGTGGCGCGGTTAAAGATCTTTGCTGGACAATTGCTGGTGGGGAGACGAAATAACGACAAGAAGCAGAAATACTAATGGGTTTAGATAAACATATAAAAAAGTAGAAAACAAAAAGAAAAAAACGGACAGAGATGCTTTGGAAACAAAAGAATTAATTGTTGTTTGTCGATCATTCGTTTTTCCTCTTCACAGGATGGACAGGTAATTCATGAAAATGACAAATAAAAAAAAATTACTAAAGCTTAATATTGCGTACGTGGACAGAAATATAATTCTGGTAAAAAAAATACAATATTAATTGCAGTTGGAAATCTCGATAGAGGCTAGCCAGTGTGAACCCTCCCTAGAAGCAGTGGTAAAAGATTTTTCAACCAATGGGCGAGTCAGTTTTAGAAAAGCTTGTCAGATGATAAATTAAGGGCGGGCTTATAATAAATAAACTTAAACCCAACCCAGACACGCTGAGAAATCTCATTATAAACAGGTTATGTCCTTTATGTAGATGTGGTACGGTTGATCTCGCCACACCCATTCTGCCCACCTATTATCTCTACCCTTAAGCAAGAAGCCAGCCAAGACGATTTGAATTATTATTATCTTCCCTACATATCCCTATAAGCTGTACCGCTTACTATGTAACCTTCTACCTCGAGTGTCTCTTGCGCTTTTTACTGGGTGAACATTATAACAAAAAAATTATTATTCTTTGCAGAATGAGTATCTAGCAGAAATGTTGGAGAACAAGTTTGTTTGCAGGCCCCAGACTAAGAGTGAATTGTTGAACCGGTTGCTAATTACTAGACCGTGTCATTGTTGTTGTCGCTGAGATAACTTGTGAATGACACCGATAGCTATTAACTCTCCCATTCAAAACTTGGAGGTCTTATATAAGACTGTAACCCTTAATAAATTAACAAACCCTAGTCGTTTATCTGTCCCGGCAGTTTCTTCTGTTTTAGTTATCTCATAAGTTGTCTACTTTGTTCTTAGTGACGTTTCACACAGATTCACCTAAGACTTCCTCAAATCAAAAAGACGATTAACAGGAGATGTGAAACCCCTGGTGCCAAGAAAATAAGACAATCAAAATAATTAGGTGCTTTTGAAAAATAAACATTACCCGTCCAGTTTGTATAATGCTAATAACCCGTTATTGTTTCTTTTTTGTTCTAGAAAATGTTTCTACATACATACTTACATTTATGGGATATGTAAATTTCTATTTCTCAAGAACAATTTTGGAGGAAAGATGTATGACAAAGTGAGAAAAGTTCTCGTGTGAAAGACTCATAAAATCGGTCCCAATGAATAAAAAAAAAATATTATATTGTTCTACTCACTAACTCTATCACAACCACAGTCAAAAAGAATTTATCTAAACTCAACATAAAATTTGTCACAACCACATCTAAAACAATAAAAGACTTAATTAATACAAAACAAAACAACGAGCCAAACCTTGAAGGAGGAATTTATTGTTTGCCAGTAAGAATATATAGGAGAAACCGCAAGAAGTTTAAACAAAAGACTATATGAACACAAAAGAGACATTTTAAAACACAACACATTAGAAGCATTAATTGCTAACTGTAACGAGATTGACGTCACCTTTGATTTAAAAAATGCTACTTTAATTAGAAGAGAAAATAATTCTCTAAGACGAAAATGTATAGAAAGTGCTTTAATCGCTAGATCATCCACAGTAAATTTACATCCAGGTTCTTACAACATTTTACCTTTCTTGGCAGATCTTCTATTTTTACAATGTGGAATATTTAATGAGAGATGGAAACAAAAAGAAAAAAGATCTAAATTAAAATGGCTAGATTGTATGCCCAAAACACATAGACATTTTTTTTCTGTCTATATCTCTGAGATGAAGTATTATGACTATTTACATTATCTACATTATTCGGACTCTTATCCTCATCTTCATTACCATATTCCCGACGTTTCGGCCGTTGTACACTCGGGCCTTCTTCACGTAATTGGAATTTTGGCATCCTCTTCCGGATGTATCAGTTATTTCCCTTTAACTTAACTCTCCAATTTTTTGGTTCACCACTGCTGTAGTCTGGTATTGAACTCACAACTCTTTGTGTCTAGTCACTGGATCTAACCAATGTTTTTGCCATGTGTCTCTCGTTTGTGTGCGCATAGAAGATAAACAAACCGATTCCGATGAAGTCCTATTTTTTCCACTTTGTCGTACACTTACATATATGATCGGCAGTGTTAACAACGCCAGTGCCCCCATGCCCACGGTCACGATGACTTGTGACTTTGTGCAACCATCGACAAACACTTCTGTCCACGGTTAGGGCCAACACGAGGCGTTGTTTACGGGCACACGGGATCGCCCCCGCCCCCCAGAACGATAACATCAATTTACTGACGAATCGACTATAGTGATATTCGAACCCGGGTTTCATGGTCAGTAAAACAAACGTTCTAACAACTCGGCCACGCGCTTATCACATCTTATGACACCTAATTTTTTCTAGTATGAATTTAGAAATTTAAATGCAATTATTCCTTTTTAAGCGTAGAAGAAAAATAAATTTAAAAAAAATAACAAAGCTATAATAAAAATTTTATTTCTGATGAAAAAAGAAACGAAAAAGTGTATCCCGAAGTTATATTAATGTTAATAGCAATGGTAATATTAGCCGTTTCCTTATAAGGAAACATTCGACATTTATTAACCAAGCAGTCGCTTTACTTTTGTTTGAAATTTATATAATATTTCTCTTAAAACAATTTTTCAGGGAAATAGGTTTCTCAAGTCCAGTAGTAGTTATCGCTCTTTCAAGTATTGAGGGGGGATTTCTTCCTAACCTTTTATTTAAGTAGTGTGGAATGTCAACATCTTGATTATGTCATTATTTTCTCTTCGAGTTAAATGTGATATCTATTTTAGCTGTTATCGCTGTTGAAAATCCTAAAGTGATGTAGTTCCTGTTATTTGGCACGATTCTTTGTGATTGTGTAGCGCCAGTCCACAAGGTTCGAAGAAAGATGATCTTCGCCAAGACCTACAGGATTCACTCGCTCAAAGCCATTTTTAACTATTGACCTGAGAAACCCATTGTATACAGCGAGCAGTTAATATATTTCTGAACAGGTTTGGTACATTCCATATGAAAGTCTCGATAGGAATGTGGATAGTTTGCTACTATGCAAGTGGCATGGCGGATCTTAACCATGAAAGTTAGACCCTGTCGGAAACAAAGAATGTAGTTCGTCCATACACTTTCCATGGTTGTAGCGATCGAGCAGTGAGAGACGCGCTACATCCCGACTGTGAGAGAGAGAGAGAGGTTAGAGGGTGGAAAATAATTCTTCTTCAACAAGGACTCGGAGACGCTTTTTAACTCTGTCATGACTCTGTCCAAATATGGCAGCAACACTCTATTTTCGGCCTGATCTGGCTCTTATAAAGCATAAGGAGTTAGCCAATTATTTTACCTGCATCTTTAGCGATCTATCGTATATAAGAGTTCCACTTGAGATCGGGTGTGAGTTTGAGGTCTAATATTCTCCCAAGACACGGTGCCTTCTCGAGGGGACATCCCTTCATCCTGATTAGCGGTAGTTTGGGGTCTGATCCGCGGTTAAACTACCCCTAGCGCAGGCTATTCTATGTTCAATTTCCTTATTTCCCATACTAAATGTGTTATAACTGACCCATACATCGAAGTATTTGAAGTACGTAGTATTTACTAATTGATCATACTGAATTTTTATGATGGATTCAGGCTATACGCCAACATTGCTTTCATTGAAATTTTAAGACAATGATAACGCTAAATAATTAAAGGTTTTCTACACGGGAAAGGAGAAAGGTCTGAGGATTATGGAAGTAAAAAAGAAACACAAGTTTTCATTGGGAAATAATAGGTGCTAATGAATGAATTATAAATCATTGATACGACATGGGTGAACGGAGACAATAAAATAGGCAATAATAAAATGTATGCAAGAAAGAGACCAGCTTGCCGAGTTAGGAATCCAAGGGAAGTAACTCGAATCGAAACTGGAGAAGTAAAAAGATACCAGGATATAGGAGGGGGGGGCATGAGATGCCTTTTTTTCATTGGCTGACTCTGACTGACGTATTTTAGTAAGAACAATCTACATGATGCACTGTTGAGGTGCGAAGCACGGCGCTTTGAAAGATGCGGCCTGACTCATCCGGAGTCAGGTCGGGGTTGCTGTATGAGTCGATATGATGCAAAATCCGAAATCGGCGATGAGCACAGTGCATCACTGAAGACCACTCTTGATGCCTCTAAAATGTATTATGCGACTATTGATATGAAAGATTAAAATCGGAAGCCATGATACATGATATACGATTCTTTAACGTGCAAAGAACTAATGAGTATTCAGAAGATCAACAGAAAGGTGGAACTTATTCAGTGATCAAAAATTGTTTCGCATCAATCAGATTTCTCAGGATGTGGTTGATCAAGGCTCTCTACGACCTCCTGTTCATTGTAGCTCTTATCAACGTTTCTCTTTTTGCAATCCCTCACACTCATTGCTTATTGGATTACGGCCATATCAGTTTGAATTCCGGTTCCGCTCCGATAACCGAATTTAAGCAACGTCGAGCCTGGTCAGTACCTAGATGGGTGACCGATTGGGAATACCAGTTGTCGTAAGCTTAGATCTGTGGATGGTGAATTGGATAATCGCTCAGAATTGTTATATTCCCTTACACGCAAATGTCCTCTTCTCTCCCCAGCTATGGGTTAATTAGTAATGCTTGTATCACTAAAACCATTATTACATCGCCCCCAAAGTCCTTACTATCTAAAAATGTTTCCTGGCTTTAAATAACCAGCAAAGGGTTGATAAGTCGTAAAAAACAAATTAATCAATGAAATACTGATTAGCTTCACGGGCACGTGTTTTAGATTTATTTACATTTTTGGAATATAAATGTATAGAAGCTTCGTGGTCACAAAATGAGGGGCCTGTTTGTATATTGATTGTAAAACCAATTTGACCCCCCATTTTATATCCTCATTACAAATTCTTTATCAAATTCTGATTAGGTATGAATCCACTTCATATGCTATGCGTGAATTAGTAAGACTTGTATCACTAAAAGCATTATTACGCCCCCCCAATCCTTACACTCTAAAAAAGGTTTCTGGCTTTAAATAACCTGCAAAGGGGTGATAAGCAGTAGAAAACGAATGTCTATATCAATCTATCACACCCCTTGTTACACTATTCATTGCTACATAGCCCCACTGCCTTCCTGTGTCTTTTTTGCCTTTAATATGTCTTGTGAGTATCAAATTATCTAAGTCCACTTTTCTCATTACGTGTCCAATTCTCTCTCACTGCGTCCTTTTTATTTTTATTTCAGTCGGACAGGAAAAGAATATGAACCACATATTAAGCAACTAAGCATATAAACTAAAAGCCATTCCAAGTTAAATAAAAAAAATGCAACATTTAAAAAAAAAAGTCAGCTGTATGTCAGATTCGATGCAAACTTTTAAATTAGAAAAAAAATGATATTTTAAAATTTGTTTCAAAAAACGGGAAACTAGTATATTAAATGATATTGTTTTTTGTTTTTTTTGTTTTTTTCAGGTTTAATATTTACTGACATTAGGGACAGTAATTTACTTTTCCTATATAAGAAATTTCAAAATTTATTATCGAGCAAGTTGATATGAGAAAAAAAGACTTAACAGAAATGGTTCCAGCCAGTGACACTGTCTAGAGTAAACATAATATATTTCAAAGTGTACCTACACAGACATACATATACGAGTATATTATATATATATATATATATATATATATATATATGTGTGTGTGTGTGTGTGTGTGTGTGTGCGCGCATGCTCGAGGGTGTCATTTCTCACACCATGTAGCTTAAGCTTGATATTTCTAAGTTGAAAGTTGATATTCGTAAAATAATTTATGCAGTTACAGAAGACGAATAAACAAAAACCTATTCAATGTGTAAGGGACAGAGAGATTTAAATATGAAATAATAAAATTTATGGTGGCAACTTGCCACAATAGCTTGTTTAAATTTAAAGGTAAATCACTCTGTATCTTAAATATTGAACATTTTTGTCAACTTTCTTATCTATATATCTATCTATCTACCTACCTATTCATATACAAATTTTCATAAAAAAACATGGGGATGATAAGAGAGCTAAGTTATGCAGAGTGACGTTGCCTGGCACAGACAGACCTTGAACTCTGTCGCGCATGCGCACTGTTATAACGTACTCGCTCTTTTCTGCTGTCGTTTCACCACACCACAGATGTCCCATCAGTGACCATGGATCGTGCAGAAGTTTTATCGTCAAACAGCATATATTCTCCAGGTCGGACAACCACCATATTCCTCAGATCTCGCCACTTGAGACTTTTTCATTTTCCAAAAATCAAATCCCCTTTGAAAGGACAAGATTTCAAGATGTCGAGGAAATCCAAGAGAATGTAAAAAGGCAGCTGCTCGCTATACACCCCACCCCACAAAAAAGGCATTCCAGGAATCAATGGAAACGACACTGGATAAAGTGGGTGGGTTCAGGAGAGGACTAATTCAAAGGAGATTACATGCCGAATTGATATGATTTTTATAGTACCAGCCCTGATACGTTTTGATCAGCCCTAAATATATATATATATATATATATATATATATATATATATATATATATATCAAAGTGAACATAGAAGTCAACACTTAGAGGCGACACTCTGTTTCAGGCTAGATGGAATCGTCAGTGGTCTGACGATTACTTCTATTATAAAACAGACTCTCGCCTCTAAGTGTTGATTTCTATGTTCACTTTTATATTTACACACGCTCTATCTCTGACATTGAGCACTTTATCCCATAAATATAGCACATCTTAAGACTATATTTCTTCATATATATATATATATATATATATATATATATATATATATGTATGGCTGAGAATCGTGGACCCCATATAGGTCACATATCAATCAGCTTAATCAATCGATTTTATAAGATGCATTGTCATTTTGTGCTCGTCTGTGATTTGAAACAAGGAAATAGCAAAACAAATCGAGATTTGTAACTCCAAATCAAGGCGCTTAAACAAAGTTTAATGTTTTAATTTTTCCGATTGGTTTGGAATATCTGTAAACATTGAACGGCATTGTGACAACTAGTCACTACAGTTTTAGAGGTGTCATAGCTAACTGACATCAAAATCCTCGGCACGAATCATTACAGCTGCTCAATGATTACAGCTTCTCTGATTGCCTCTGTAGACCAGAATTCAACCAACAACTACAGTAGGAAGTGATGGAAGAGCCAAGCAAAGGAATGCGGACTTTTGGGTGTTGAAATTTCCACCATAAACCTGGCCTTGAATGGTGACCTCCGCTTCCAGTCATAAGAGGTGTAATGGTCAACTTCTTTCAAGAAAGGCTAGAGAAAACCAGGCAAAGGAATGCAGACTTTTGGGTGTTGAAATTTCCACCATAAACCTGGCCTTGAATGAGGACCTTCGCTACCAATCATATGAGGTGTAAAGGTCAACTTCTTTCAAGAAGGGCAAGAGAAGACTTTCTAAAAGAAACTCCTAAACAAGGTGAAACATCTTGATGAACTAAGGACAATCTGACTCTTCTCAGATGAAAAGAATTTTTGTCGTGACCAGCTGCATAACTGCTTGTCTACAATTCATATGACGTTCCTCGTGCCATGTGACGGTTTTTGGGTTGATGTCATACCACCTCACACCTTTGAACAATGTCTCAGGCTCAGTTCGAATGGCTATGTGGAGTTGTTGAACACTGAGGTCAAGCCTTGGTTAGATGGAGGTGGCTTCTAGAAGACCATGTATGTGGCAAGAAGATTCAGATCCCTGTCACACCTCCAGAAAGTGTCAGAAGGGGTTGTCAGATAATTTTTACGACTTCACCAGCTACAATCTCTGGCCCTCTAACTACCCTGATTTTAATCCCATGCATTATTAAGGGCGGGGAGCCGTTGAGAAAGACAGAACTGGTTGTAACACCAAGGCCCCGCTGATCGGCAACATTAAGGAGGCGATTGAGGCTCCCGCTAGGGGCATCAGGAATGTCGCATGTGCCAGATACCGGAGCCGAATCGAGATTCGAATATGATTCTTTTAGAGGATTATATGTCACAAGGAATCAATCAGCAGTAGATTGAGTCATGGCTCAGTTTATACCGGAAACTGCATGGAAAGCAGTCGGTGCATTTTGGGGACCCCATATAGGTCCCATACCACTCAGCTGGATGTCTTCCAAAAAAGTTGTCGCCGTGAAATCTGTGGCTATACTTTTGATGATAGGCTCAATGTTGATTTTCTTGCAAAATGCAACATTGCTGGAATTGAGACTTTCCTGATGCAATCATAACTTTACTGGGCTGGTCATGTTGCAAGGATGAGAGACAACAGAATAGCTAAGGTCATCAGGTATAACCAGCTTGACAGTGGACAAAGTACTATTTAACGATCGTGGCTTAGATATAAAGACAAGCTAAAGAGTAGTGTGTGTGTGTGTGTGTGTGTGTGTGTGTGTGTGTGTGTGAGAGAGAGAGAGAGAGAGAAAGTGACTTTCGCTGGGCTTGTCATGTTGCAAGGATGAGTGACGACAGAATAACTAAGGTCTTCCTGCATAACCAGCTTGACAGTGGACAAAGGACTTTTTGATGGCCGTGGATCAGGTATAAAGACAAGCTAAAGAGTAGTCTGTATATATATATATATATATATATATAGGAGAGAGAAAGTGACTTTCGCTGGGCTTGTCATGTTGCAAGGATCAAGGATGACTGACGACAGAATACCTAAGGTCCTCATGTATAACCAGCTTGACAGTGGACAAAGGACTTTTTGATGGCCGTGGATCAGGTATAAAAACACAAGCTAAAGCGTGGTATATATATATATATATATATATATATATATATATATATATATATATATATATATATATATATATGAATGAGAAAAAAGTGACTTTCGCTGGGCTGGTCATGTTGCAATGATGAGTGACGTGGATCAGGTATAAAGACAAGCTAAAGTGTAACCTTTTAGCTATCAATGTGCAACATACTAACTTAGAGTGAGTTTCCCTGAATAGAAATAACTGGATATATTTGTCCAAAGTAGTATCAGAAATTTCGAAATCATTCGTACTGACCGGCAAAGTGATGGAAGACAACAGCGAAAAGCATCAGAAAATATCTCTTTAGCTATGTCCCGAGATCCTCACTGTAGCGATGGGTAAATTGTTGTCATTTTATTATATTTTTCGCGCATGCGCGTTATCTATTTTTGATTTTGTCGACCGCCCAGTATAATAGGGTCAGTTGGGTGCCGTCTGTGAGAAAAAGAGCACCATGACGCAATTCATTCCACCAGAAATTTGGAAACGTCATCTAGTACTGCTTGGCATTCACGCTGGAAGCGCCAATGCGAACATTTCAGAGTGTTTGGATGACAATCTGAGGAGAGTGCAGAGGATTCGGAAAAAGTCGGATGAGTTTAATGGTGACTGCAATGGTACGGCAGCTAGGGAAGTTCACTTTAATCGTTCTGATAAGAAAATATAGAAGGTAGTACTGCCCTAGATCAAGAGGGTGGCTGCTGAAGGCCCTATCCCTGGCA